GTGTCACAGAAACGCCGGTAACAGGTCAACGATGACATGAAATTTAAATGTAGAATTCTCTTATTTTTGCCATTAAAAACTCATGACATGTCACTCGGTACGTTATTGTAGGTTAAAATTCTTTAGTATCCTAAGATGGGATGTCGAGGAAGTGATGTCAGTGTGGGAGTTCATTCGAGTATAAGATGTCTGCGTTGAATGAGCCACAGCCCAGAATTCCCTGCCTTCGTAAGAACACTTAAGTAGAATTACAGGCACCACTTTATTTTATGTTCCGCGTCGCTTAAGGATGAGACTGATTATGGCTCTCCACATATTCCTATCTTTTATGCCTAGAATCAACGTTTGTCTCCTAATCATCACGCTAGTTCTTGATCCAACATTAATTTACATAAACTCATTTGGTTATTTATTTTCTGTTCCTCTCTGCCCACTGCAATCAGTCTGAGCTGTGAGTTTGAAATTCTCCAATCCCTTATTCCTCATTATAAATCTGTTTCTGTGAGTATGTGTCGTTTTTTTTCCCATTTTTTTAAACTGCCATTATGTTCTTAGAATCCGTTTATTCGGACATATAGAACACAATCTGTCCTATTGATTTACCCATAGCTTTTTCAGTTGTACTGTCGAACTATCTGCCTTCAGGCAGAGAGGAACCCGGACTAGGTTATGCCGAAGGGCAGAGTCTCGTTCGGGGAGATAGACAGACCTGATCCCGTTTATGCGGGGTCTACGGGGATTTTTTGGCCGAGCCTACGGGCTCGGGAACCCCACATTAAATTCGGCCTTGTGCCACATGTGACTGCGTGGAGCAATTGCTAGATACTCTAGCCGTAGGCAGAAAAGTTTCATTGCACCTTTCCCAAGGGTATAAGCACGTAATTGAATGTAATGTATTCGACTGGAATTCGAACTCGGCTCTCTGATCTCATCATCTGAGCCGCAATCTATTACTCTACCGTACCCCCAGTATAGGAACTCGATATAAGTGTGGAAATTACGTGCCATCGTGAAAAAATTAGAACGGAAAATAAAACAGAGATAAAAGAAAAGAAAACAAAAATGGTCAAGTGGCTGAAATCTTTTTCCACGATTGTCTGTATCATCTTGTATTTTCCACTCTTAATCCCAAACTGTAACAAAATCCCATAATTAGATAGAGAAATGTCTCCTACGGGGCCAATATTTCATCTATGAAAAATGCGATGCGAAACATTCATTAATAAAGTGGCAGTTATTAGAAATTGGTTATCCTAGAAAGCGTTCTAATATATTTTTTTTTTCGCGCCTCTCCATAAAATACAGCGCTCGTGAGCAGACGACATACAAATTCACTTCAACGAATCTGTTTACGTGCAACTCTTTTTAGTTTTATTCTCAATACTGAATAATAATTTCGATAAAGATCTTTAAATGAATAAATAAATAAAAAAATACTATCCTAACAACTCACCAATCTCCTTCCATTGATCGAACAAATCTCTTTTTCAAGGGCTATTGTGATTAAAACTTATAATGAGGAAGTTTTACGCTAGATGGCACTGCGATCAATATCACCTTTGGCCTCTCTCAGATTTCTCATATAATGAAAAACACATACGTATACATATATATATATATATATATATATATATATATATATATATATATATTAAAGAGAAAGGAGAAGGCGCAAACGTTTTTATTATAATGTGATTTTTTTTATATATTATACTTTATATACATATATATGTGTGTGTGTGTGTGTCTATTATTTTGTATTGATCTATGAGATATATAATATATATTGATTTCCCTATATGTCTATAAAGAAATTTTGTGAGACACATGGGCTGCGTACATAAATATATATATATATGTGTGTGTGTGTATGTGCGTGCGTGTGTATGTGTGTCTGTGTGAATGTATATACACAAATACAACTGGGATGCACATGTCATACACACACGCATATATATATATATATATATATATATATATATATATATATATACGTATGTGTGTGTGTTTGCGTGTGTCTGTGTGTGTGCGTGTGCAGATTACGTTTCTAACAAAATTTACTTTTAAATATGTATCTATATTTATTGTATATCTTACAGATCGATAGGAAACACGCGAAATATATAGTTTTGTGCCACTAGCATACTTGTGCAAATATACACACACATACACATACACACACACACACACACACACACACACACACACACACACACACATATATATATATATATATATATATATATATATATATATATATATATATGATAACATTAGTGATCAGTATGGATATTTCCAAAGGTTATAAATCCAGGGAGAACTCTATGACAGAAACAGTGCAATGCTTATTATTATAAAACGGACAAGTACTAAAATTCCATGAGGTTTTATTTATTTCATTAGGGTCGTTATAATTTATTTTACCCGATCTGAAGTTCTGATGAGTTGGGGCGGTTTTTAAAACCCTAATGTAATAAATATAACCTCATGAAATTTTAATGTTTGTGTTATATATATATATATATATATATATATATATATATATATATATATATATATATATATATATGTATGTATGTATATGTATGTATGTATTACTCTGAACTTTATCTTATTTGATAAATGGATTTGAGTTGCTATCGCTTTTTTGTGAAATTAATAATAACAGGTATTGTTATACCACAGATTTTTGTGCGGCATTTATTTTCGGCGACATTTATTTTCCAACGGGCAGTCTTCAGGGTTTCTACAATCACAATTTTTTATCACATTTTTGTCTAATTTTAGTTTAGGATGTTTATTAATACTGTTTTAGCATGCGTGTTTTTCCAGGATTTTATTATTATGTTTTTTTTTATGATTCTTTCTAGAATTTCAGTGCAACTGTAACTTAATTTTAAGGCGTTTTTATTAAAGATCTTGCTAAGTCTGCTATTAGTAGGTATACCAATGCACTATCTCATCCATAGAGAGTCCTAACACTGATACGATATACATTGGTTCAACGAAGAATGAATTTAAATTTAGATGGAGACAACACAAAAGCTCCTTCAATATTAGAAATATAAATCAGACATCTGTATCCAAATATTTTTGGCATTTAAAAGAAATGAATAAAACACCAAAAGTAAAATGGAAAATAATAGATAGAACAAAAACTTGTAAAACCTGGGATGACCCATGCCCTTTATGCCTACATGAAAAACTACATATTATTAAGTTTCTATATAATTAAAATTTATTAAACCATAAACAACGGTTTTCTGCCGACATCAACAAATTTTCACATTAAATAATTAGCATAAAAACTTTAAATTTCATAGTCTAATAAAAGGTTTAAAAGCTTAACCGAATCGTAAGATAGAAAAAACCCTTTATGAAGTTGTCAAAAAAACAAATTGCTGTTCAGTGCGACGCGTTTAAATACGAAACAGCCCTTTAGAAAAAAAAGATAAGGATAAAAAAATAAATAAATAAAATAAAACAAAATTCTCTAGACACTTAACCACATGTTATGGTGCCAAAAGCTATCTTTCGCTGTGACTGACCAGACGATGTTCGCATATGAATGACACCATTCGCTTTAAAATTGATACACTGACCCTACCTTGGCTTGACGTGATATGTGGATAAAAATTAACACTTAGGCGCCTTATCAAAATGGCCGCCCCAGTCGTTTCCATAATAATTAATTTTACGAATGAACATGCTTATAAAGATGCGTAAATTTCAAGATTGGTTATTCCTAAATTTTTGCTTGAGGATAAAACAGGGCTTGATACTTTGACTCAATTTAATTTTAATAATTATCTTGAGGTTTTCGGCTCTCGTTTTTTAAACATGAGAACTTTTATGTAGCGAAGGAATCATATTTTTTAAAAATAATTATAATATATATATATATATATATATATATATATATATATATAGTCGTATGCACTCACCATTTGTTCCACAAAATCTCTTTAAGATATACAAAGAATCTATATTCTTGTTATTTCTTCATACCATTAAAGAATAATAACACAATCATGAAATATAATATCGCTTGGAGTCGATGTATTCTTACTGAATTCTGTAGTAAAGATAGAAGGCTCGCTTCTAGCTAGCTCTCTTTTGACGATTCTCTCCGTCAGTATATATGTTTGGACGAGTTTAAGTCATATTCATCTCCACAACAATTATATATTTTATAAATCGATAAAAAAATAATATACTCTCTATTGTTGAATATGAAGCATTTCATTAAATCAGAAAATTACCACAGATAACACTGATACGATATACATTGGTTCAACGAAGAATGAATTTAAATTTAGATGGAGACAACACAAAAGCTCCTTCAATATTAGAAATATAAATCAGACATCTGTATCTCTCTCTCTCTCTCTCTCTCTCTATCTATCTATCTATCTATCTCTCTTACACACACACGCTCTCGCTCTCTCTTACACACACACTCTCTCTCCCTATCTCTCTCTCTTACACACTCTCTCTCTATCTCTCTCTCTTACATACACACACTCTCTCTCTCTCTCTTACACACACACTCTCTCTCTCTCTTACACACACACTCTCTCTCTCTCTTACACACACACCTCCCTCTCTCTCTCTCTCTCTCTCTCTCTCTCTCTCTGGTTCCGTTTGCATTTTGTAACAAGTTGAGGAGATGTCATTTAATTAATTTTTGCTGACGAAGATTTCTCCCAGAGTGGAAATTACCTGAATGGTAAATGTGTCGTCATCAATTCTGCAATAGAACCCCATACGTGAAAAGATTTAGCGATATTATTTTAACTGTGAAAGCCTGTGATTACAATTAGAAACGACTCATTCAATAGATTAAGCAAATTAAGTAATAACTTCTAATGAAATGCAACGAAATACTAAGCATATCTTCTTTCTTTCTTTTTTTCTCCTTATTTCGTCATTAGTCACTTTTCTTTCATGTTTTCTTTCTTTCATTATTAACTTCTTTATCTTGGGCAGAATGCCTGAACGTTTGCATCGGATGCAAGATAGATAGATAGATAGATAGATAGATAGATAGATAGAAACAGCTTGAGATAGATAGATAGATAGATAGATAGATAGATAGATAGATAGATAGATAGAGATAGATAGATAAAACAGCTTGAGATAGATAAAAACAGCTTGAGATAGAGATAGATAGATAGATAGATAGATAGATAGATAGATAGATAGATAGATAAAACAGCTTGAGATAGATAGATAGATAGATAGATAGATAGATAGATAGATAGATAGATAAAACAGCTTGAGACAGATAGATAAAAACAGCTTAAGATAGATAGATAGATAGATAGATAGATAGATAGATCTCGCTAAACTGACTTTAGATAGATAGATAGATAGATAGATAGATAGATAGATAGATAGATAAAAACAGCTTGAGATAGATAGATAGATAGATAGATAGATAGATAGATAAGAACAACTTACGATATGTAGATAAGAACAGATTTAGATAGATAGATAGATAGATAGATAGATAGATAGATAGATGAGCACAACTTTAGATAGAGAGGTAGATAAGAACAGCACTTTAGATAGATAGATAAATAAATATGAAAGATCGAGAAAGAAAGAATGAAAGAAAGAAATATGATTTTATTGGTAATTGCAGCTTTCTAGATCGAAATCATTAATCCAATAATCGTTTGCAAGAATTAGCTTATTCTCTCGCACTCTGTGGCAGGCGTTCCAGTTGGAAACTATGGGTGGTGTCCATGAATATACAATAAAAGTAAGCATGTTAGATAATACCTCCACCATGTTTCAGATGGACTGCTCGGAACAATTATTATTTTTGGAGAAATATCTATTCCGTCCACGCTTATTCCAACCTATCCTTTTGTTAAATATTCAGGAACTTTCTTCTCACGCCTTAAATTCGGCTACTGATATTTTAGTACAAAGACAGCCATTAATAAAAAATATTTAAAAGTAATTAAAAATTCAAGTCGTCTATATAATCCAACTGTCTCGTCTATTTAAAACTCAAGTATATATATATATATATATATATTGTTATGGGATCTTACACACAATAATAATAATAATAATAATGGACTATTCCATACTTAATAAATACTCCGCTTCCGGAGTAGGCAAAGAGGCAGTCAGTCAATCAATTTCGGACGACCGGCTGATCGGTTGGACTCTCTGTCTTCGGGCGGGGAGGAACCCGAACGAGGCTATGCCGAAGGGCAGAGTCTCGTTCGGGGAGGTAAGCCGACCCTGAACCCGTTTATACGGGTCCAAAGGGTATATTTTTGGCCGTGCCCACGGGCTCGGAGAATCCACGTTAAACCGGCCATGTGCCACATGATACCCTCGTGGGGGTGACTAAATACTAGTCAGTCGATGTTGGTCGACCGGCTGATCGCTAGAACTCTCTGCCTTCAAGGGGAGGAACCCAAACGAGGCTACGCCGAAGGGCGGAGTCTCTTTCGGGAGGTAAACCTGCCCTGAACCCGTTTATACGGGTTCAATGGGCATATTTTTGGCCGAGCCCACGGGCTCGGAGATCCCACGTTCAACCGGCCTTGTGCCACATGATGCCCTCATGGGGTTGGGGACTAAATACTGTTCAGTCTTAAGTCTGGAGTGAAGTCCGTCAGGAGTCTGTCAGTCAGAGCGAGCGAGTCAGTCAGTCGAGTCAGAGGCAGTCCGAAAAGAGTCGCGTTCAGACAATTACTGCAAGACATTGGAATAGTGATACTGGTCGAGACTACATTGTTCTCTCTACTAAACCTGATTGTTCATACTAACACTTCTATATATACACTTCTTGTATATATTCCCGTTTGTAATATATCTGTGTTATTCCATATCTGTGTTCGAGTTCTTTTTTATTGGTTCTACCTTGGACTATCACCGTGGTACAAGGAACCGGACCATAACATATAAAATGGATAATAAATAAAAAAAAGTTAACAAACTCTCATTTAAAATCAAACCCCTTTTTTTCTTAGAACAGGTAAGTTTCTTAAATTTATTAAATACCCGGTGGCCTCACAGGTAGTTATTCAGTGTTCTGATACCGTAGCTACACTCGCATGTAAGGCGGGAAGAAATCTTTTATGTAATGAAATCTGAATGCCCCCAAATTGGCGTATTTTCACAAGCAATTTATATTCACGGGCCTCTAACTAATATCTTTTCATAATGCGTTCTTAATTTTTTTCCTTCTAGTGTTCAATTTTTAAAGAAAATAATGCAAAAGGCAACCCAAAAATATAAACTGGTGAGAGCAATAAAGAAACTATAAAAAGGAGAGCAAGAAAGATGGAGCGAAGAGCAAGAACGAACGAGTGGAGAGTAAGGGAAGGAAGACTTAAACGTTTTATATGAATGATGGTCACTGGACGACCACGAGGGAAAAATTAATATTGTTAGTTTATTTTTATTTTTATTTTTTAAATGAAATTTAATAGAGTCTGAAATTAGCGCGAAAATGATTGCCGGATTTTAAAAAGTATTTTTTTTTATTTTCATGTTTTAATTTAATTTTAATCTTTTCTTTTTCTTTTAATATTTCGAGCATGATTCTTTCGCTTATTGTTTTACTATCTCTAATTACAAGCAGTTTGAAAATTTGTTTCTAATTCAAGTGGGTTTGAACACCTTGGAGTCGGCTTTTTGCAGCAGTCGCTCCCAGCATAGTTCGAAACAAGAAAAAAACTGACTCATTTATTGACCGTTTTTTTGCACAAAAAATAAATCATCTCTTTTTAACAGCGTTTCGAATCTTAATGCTATAAAGTGGTTGTTACGAATATTGAATCAATTGTCAAATTATCGAACTCATGATTTCATCTGCGCTCCACTTTGGCACCAAATTTGGAACTGCCAAAAATGTCCATGCTGTCTGGGATTCCATCATAAACACTAGAAAATAACTTTCGCTCAGTGATGGTTAACAAGCCTGCGTTATTAAAAATTGCCGGTGAGTTTATCGATCAAATCCTCATATTTGATTGCTTGAACGGTTTCTTCCTTAAATACAATGTGGTCTGCCACAATAAAACTTCATGTGCGATGAAATAAGATCCTACGTAAAACTGAGGCACAAAAGTGACTTCACATTCTCACGTGTGATTGGTAATATACAACAGGTTATCTCTCTCGATCTATCTATCTAGCTAGCTATCTAGCTACCTATCTATCTCTTTCTCTCTCTCTCTCTCTCTCTCTCTCTCTCTATATATATATATATATATATATATATATATATATATATATATATATATATATATATATGGTCTTACACACACACACACACACATGTGAGACCAGACAGATGGAAAACCCTTTATACCAACGCGTTTCGTTCCTTGATTCCTTCAATTGTATTGATAATGTTCCTCAGCGAACGGAATTTTTTTCTTTACTCTTTATGTATCATGTCCTTTTAGGACGTAGGCGATCATGGCTCTCCATTTCACCTATCCCTTGTATCTCTCAATAAGTTTCGTCCTTGTGTTACCTCCCCCAGACCATGTTCTGTCATTCACTTGCTTAAGCCCGCCAGATATGTCATGCGTTGCATTCCCTTGTCTCGCTTTCCCTCTATTAGACCCGTGAGTATCAGATTCTCGTGGCCGTCTTTTCTCATTACGTATTCAAGAAGCTTCAGCTGCCTCTTCCTGATGGTAAGTATAAGCCTCCTCCTTGTTTGCATATTCTTCAAGACCTCATCGTTGCTCACACGCTCGGTCCATGATATCATCAGCATCCTTCTGTAGAACCATATCTCCGTCGCCTCCAATCTCTTCTTCATCTTGAAGGAGACCGTCCACCATTCGCTGCCGTAGGTTTCACGTAACAGCTCAGTATTCTTTTCTTTGTTACCAAAGAAATCGTCCTGTCTCGCAATATTCTCCCCAGGTTCTGGAATGCGTCCTTGGCCATCCCAATATATCTACGGATTTCAGTGTCGCTCTTATCGTCCTCTGACAAAACATTTCCCAGATATTTAAACTTCCACACCTACTTGATTTTAGAGTCCTGCAAATTGTATTTTAGGCTCATTCTTTTTACTGATGACCATGCATTCTGTCTTCGTGTAGTCTATGCTTCTCGCTATCCTCCACTTTATATATATATATATATATATATATATATATATATATATTGGTAGTGTGACGTGCACATTTGTGTCTGTGTGTGTTTGAGTCTTGATAAAAATTCATATATAAATATATCTATAGAGAAAATGTAAATAAAAGACAAGTGAGAAACCTTTTATGCCAACGCGTTTCGTTCCTTGAGTCCTTCACTTTCCTTGATAATGTTCCTCAACGAAAAGATTGATCGTTTGTCATTTATACATGTCTTTTATGCACACACACACACACACACACACACACACACACACACACACACACACACACACACAGATAGATAGATAGATAGATAGATAGATAGATAGATAGATAGATAGATAGATAGATATTACATTTGTGCTTGTGGCACCAAATTCTGAACTGCCAAAAATGTTCATGTTGTCTGGGATTCCATCATAAACACTAGAAAATAACTGTCGCTAAGTGATGGTTAACAAGCCGGCGTGACTAAAAATTGCCGGTGAGTTTATCGATCATATCGTCACACCTGATTGCTCAAACGGTTTCAACCTTAAATACAAGATGTTCTGTCATAATAAAACCTCATACGCGATGAAGTAAGATCCTGCGTAAAATTGTGTACACGCTTGGTTGAAAAAAGTTGTTTTTTTCATTTTTTTTTATATTTCAGACAATTTTTCTGGTTTCAGGAAAATATTCAAAGGTAAATGTTCCAATGTCTGAACATTTCTAGAATTCATAATCAATTATCAATGATTTCTTGTTTTCTTCTATGTCGTTTTCATGGTTTTTTTCCAAACATCGCTACTTGTCTGTTATATTTAATAATATATAGAAGTGAATGCCCACAACGATATAAGTTAGCCGTTATAAAAAGTTAATCCCTTGCACACAAATGATATCTTCCTTGAAAACCATATTCTATAAAGAATTACACAACATTGCACAAACACTTGTTAATAATAGATTCCCGTTATCGTAGCATAGCAATCTTCTATGTCAGCATAACAGAATATCATCTTTGATGGTGCATATCTTTGTTTAAATGTCTATATAACCACTCTGAAGATGGCTCATGTTGAGCCGAAAGATTAGACCTAGGAAGAGCATAATAAAAATACCTAAATATTGGACAATTTTAGTCTTTATCTATATAAAGCTAAGAACGGCTCATGATCAAATATAACAGACATTCGTTGTATGCTGTCTGTGTGTGTCTATGTGTATGGTGGGATCATTAATTATATGTTTGTTTCCAAAATTTGCTAGAAAATGGAAGAGAACTAGCGACTTTAATTCAAGTATGTAAATGAAGTTTTAGCTTCTGTTTTTGAAACATGGCAATTTCTGCGTAGCGATGGAACCATATTTTTGAGTAAGTAAATTTATAATATTTATGCTCTGTAGCTTTGCATTGAGCATTGTTTTGTAAAAAAATAAAAATATTAATAAGAACACCGGATTATATATCTTACTGTTCTTTCTCTTTATTACATAATATATATATATATATATATATATATATATAGAGAGAGAGAGAGAGAGATAGATAGATAGATAGATAGATAGATAGATAGATAGATAACTAGACTCGTTTCGAAAAACCCTCGAATTTTTGATTTGCTAATCAAATCAATCTCGAGGGAAAAAAGGTTTTAAAAAAAGAAAGAGCTCCAAACATGAACTTCTGCCGACAAAAAAATCGCACAGATGCAGGTCTGAAGCCCAAAGAAAAAACCCCGATACGATTGTCAGGGAAAGTTTGGTTGTTAAGTTGTTACAACTTAACACCCAAACTTTCCCTGACAATTCGTTTAGGTGAAACCTAGGTAGGTGTATCTATATATATATATATATATATATATATATATATATATATATATATATATATATATTGACACACATGCGGCCCTGTTCCTAATAGTCGTTACACGACGTCATGCTAGACTATTTCAAATGTACAGCTTATCAAATAATTGCAGGATGTAAAGAAACGAATTCTAGCTATCACACACTCACTACATTGATTCTTGATAATGACTGTCGAAAGTACTTGAATAAAACAATAAAGAATTTTTAACTTCGGAGATTTTATCTGGAACTTCGAGGACAATACTCAACACATTCTCCAAAAATTGAAAAGAAATACAGTAAAATATTAAATAGATAGAGCTTGTCGGATTTTTTTAATCAAACTTGTTTGGATAGATAGATAGATAGATAGATAGATAGATAGATAGATAGATAGATAGATAAGCCGATTGAAATTGACAGACAGATGATAGACAAATGATAGATAGATAGACAGAAAGAAATAAAGAAAGAAATAGACAAAGTTAGGTAAAGAAAAACGAAAGAAAGAAATAGGCGTAGATAGATAGATAGATAGATAGATAGATAGATAGATAGATAGATAGATAGATAGATAGAAGAAAAAAAAGGAAAAATAAAGATAGATAGATAGATAGATAGATAGATAGATAAATAGATAAGCCGATTGAAAAGACAACAGATGGACAAATGATAGATAGATAGAGAGATAGAGATAGAGAGAGATAAAGAAAGATAAAAAAGAAAAATATGCATAGATAGATAGATAGATAAAGAAAGATAAAAGAAAAATATATGCATAGATAGATAGATAGATAGATAAAAGGAAAAATATGCATAGATATATAGACAGATAGATAGATAAAGCCGATTGAAATAGACAGACAGATGATAGACAAATGATAGATAGATAGATAGATAGATAGATAGATAGATAGATAGATAGAAATAGACAAAGTTAGATAAAGAAAAAGGAAAGAAAGAAATAGGCGTAGATAGATAGATAGCAATACACAAAATCTCGGCTAATCTAATGCGTGAAATCGTTACTTTAGACAAACAAAGCATGGTCATGAACTAAAATTTCTTCACACTGACCAGGTCAGAAATCGTTTGTTAGACCAACTAGTTCCACTCTTTGAACACAGAACCAACATTGAGCTAATATCCATCTAATTTTCCGACTAATTTCTTTAACTTCTCTAATGTGTATTCTCTTCGACCAATTGCCGCTCTTGTTAGCATTTGAATTGACGGATTCATTACATTACATCTACAGTCCCGGACACTTTATTAAGTAGAAAATTTGTTGATCAATTTGATCGTCTCATCAATTTCATGATTAAGCCAATGCGTTGGTCAAATCTTTCAATTTCATCAATGCACGAGTCAACATGAGCCACAGATCAATGAATGGATCAACTTTGTTCTGCAGTCACTGGAAATGATAATTGAACTGTTTAACTGATCAACATTTTAATTAATTCTTGGCAAACGAACATGAAACCTATTTTGTTTGCGTCGTGATTTTAGCGTGTTACGATTCTTGTTTTTAACCTCTGTATTATATGAACTGAGGTCCCATCTCCCGAGATATGGCATTGAATTTTATTGTTACATTTGTCTGATTTCGAGAAGAGAATATTTTTCTCTTTGATTTGGCGATGAGAATAGCGTGAGGATTAATTCGGTTCAATGCAACCAGTTTTGCTATAAACTGTAATAAAATTCCCGACGGCTTGTAACATTAAATTTTAACGCCCATGATTGCCATCGTTAACGATGACAAATTAAGCAAAACTAACCTTCCTTTGTCTGACTTTGAAGAGTTTCTCACTTGAATGCCTTAAAACTGACAACCTCTGGAAGCTCTTTTTTGTTGCGAAAATACAAGAATATCTGTCTATATTCCTGAGATGAAGTACTGTAATCATTTACACTATTTACATTGTTCGGGCTGTTGTCCTCATCTTCGTTGCCACATACATGGCGTTTCGGCCGTTGTACGCTTCGGACTTCTTCAGGTAACTGGAATTTCGAACCGAAGCTCCTATTCCGTCCACCGGGGTAGATTGCTCTAGTTCCACGTGCCACACCTCTTCCGGGTGCCTCAGTATCAGTTATCTCCCTTTAACTGAACTCTTCCAAGTTTTTGATCACCTCAGCTGTTACCTGGTATTGAACTCACAAGAGAACATGATTAAGGACTGCGTGTACGTCATCTCATGCAGTTGTGGTAAGAAATATAATGGAGAAACGGGCCGTCCTTTTAAGATCAGACAGCAGGATCACCGTAAAGCCGTAACACTAGGCGAAATAGAAAAATCAGACGTAGCTGACCACATATGATGGAAAAAAGGGAGATCACCATCCCCTTTGGGATCGGGTTGAAATAATAGATAGAATATCATGTAAAATACGAAAACTTAAGAAGGCCGGAGCGTACAACCGCCGAAACATCGTGAAGATGGCAAGGAAGATGAGGACAACAGTCTGAACAATGTAAATAAGTATTTATCTAAAATGGATGTTCATGCGCTGCATTGAATGACGAGCATCTTTCATTAATTTACAAAAGGCATGAATCCATCTCTTTCGCCTACTCCTCCGTCATGGGTTAAATTGCAAGGCAAATTGGATTAACAAGACGTGGTCGGCAATACAGTCTAGATGAAAGACAACACCGAATTCAAGACCGTGTGTAGCCCTTGACGTTCCACATACGCTGCAACCATCGACAAGATCATTGAATTCAGGGTGTCTCCATAGTCTCGACAGCGGTCGGACTACGAGTGCATCGGTGAATTGTTAAAATTATTATTATCTCTTTTGATTTCTGTTGTATACTCGTTCCCTTCAACGTCCAAAACAAACAGAAATGGCATCATGACATTTTCTCTGAACATTTTTGAAAAAAATAAATAAATAAAACCAACGAAGAGGACACAGGTTTTATATTGTTAAAACCCTTCATAAGGTGTGAGTTGTACTTGTAGGGAACAATGTTTTGTATTTCTTTGAAGCATGGGCTTCCAGGGATCCCTTCCATAAGTCTATCGGAACCTCGTCAAATCAAACCGAGCGATCCAAGCACAGCTGGAATTATTGATGTCTTCATGTGACGCATTATTATTATTATTATTATTATTATTAATAATAATAATCTGCGCAGGACCAATGCTTGCTAACTAGGAATTATCAAGCACATATACTAAAATATTGTGTCATCCCAAAATGCAGATTCTGTGATAAATATCCAGAAACGATTGATCATCTTGTATCAGGTTGTACAGTGTTGGCACCCACTGAATATAAAACCCGACATGACAGAGTGGGCCAATATCTGCACTGGAAAATCTGCAACTTCTACGGGAAGGAAAATGAAAGAAACTGGTATGAACACCACCCAGACCCGGTTACGGAGATAGGACCTGTTACAATTCTATGGGACTACACAATACACACTGACAGAACAATCAAGGCCAACCGGCCAGATATTGTTATTAAAGACCACAAACAAAAACGATGCCTCCTTATTGATATGGCAGTCCCTGCTGACTGCAATGTATCTTTGAAGATATTCAAAAGGTTGTCAAAGTACAAGGACCTTGAAATAGAAATCTCGAAAATGTGGCATATGGGAACATCAACAATCCCTGTTGTAGTTGGAGCCCTAGGACTGGTTGGAAAAGATTGCAGTAGACTAATTGAAGGGATTCCTGGAAGTCCATGCCTCAAGTACAGCCCACACCTTACGAAGGGCTTTATCTATGTAATTTTTAAGTGTCATGATGCCATTTTTTTCGGGACCAAAAGAAATGGTAAAAGAAATCAAAGAAAATAAAAATAATAATAATAATAATTTATTGTTATTTTATTATCTAGCTTACGGCCAAATGTTTAAATTTCATTGAGATCACCTTAAGCAGCGTCGAACCTCTTCATTACCTAGATTGGTCTTGAGAAAACGTAAGGATTGAAATTAGGGCCGAGTTCAATTCAGTTGTTGTTATATTATTGTGCAAATACACCCGAAAGGTATAAAACCTCTTTACCT